ATGGGAAGTTAAATGAGGATGTATGCATGTGATCAATTCATGCAGCACCACTTTTTTGCAGTATGATTCCTATATTTTTTACTGAGCCATCTGTGAAGATTGAGTGTTGTTTAAAATATTTAAATTCTGTTTTAGCTTGATTCCATTTGTCTCTAAGATCAGTCAGAATTATTACTGTGTATTCATCATCAGACATTATGTCATCAAATTCTGTTGCTTTAGTAGGATTGGATAATAGTTTGGGCTGCCAGGTTTTTTAATATTTATAGAAGTTGTTTTGGGAAGGTTGCCATTGTGTATTTGATATATGATGATTTGAAGGATTTTTAAGTACATGTATTTCCAGGATTTTGAACCATATTGGTATTTTTCCTTGATTAGATTCTCTCGTGAATTTGGTATATTCCCTTCAAGTGACGAGAATGTTATTACGTTTTAAGAGTTGTTCTAGATAAAGTATATTTTCTGATTTTAGAGAGTTTCTAATGCTTTTATAGAAGTCGTGGGGTTCTAGAATGTTCTCGATAGGCCATGTACCACCTTCTGGAATGTTTAGAGACCAATTTTGATTAGGATGACCAATGATTTGTATATTCCTTTCTGTCATGATATTAATTATATCAGCTATTATATTGTAACCTGGTTTTGTATATTCCTGTATTGGATATTCCAGAATATTAAAGACTGTCCATTTTTGGTGTTGTAGATTGGCTAGTCTAATGATTGTTGTGTGTGTTGAAGGGTTGTTGCCACTATTTAATCAGATAAATAATTCATTAATTTTACTTTTTGCCTGAAGTTTATTTATATCAATGAGGTTGTAGATGTTTGGATGTCTAAGTGCTGCAGAGGGAAAGGTTGAGGGGAGATTTGCTTTTTTCCGGATTGTGCTAGCAATTTTGCTGTTCCATTTTTGTATAGTAGAGTTATTAATATATGTTATCATTGTTCTGTATTCGATTGCAGGACCAATGACATTGTTGAATATATATATAGCTTGCTTGTCTGTTATTTTTTTTCGTTTTAATTTATAACAGGCTTGTGTTAATTATAGATTTATCATATTGATAATAGTTGTAGGTTTTCCATCGGCTCTGAGCCAAACACCGAGATATCTGGCACTTTGGTTTTTGTGAAGAATTTTAATCTTTCCTTTGTTATTACGTAGTTGTAAATCTGGTGAATTGTATTGTTGGTTGGAGATACGTATGATTTTGGTTTTATCAATATTTATTTCTATGTCTGTCATCTCAAAAAATTCATTTGCTTTACTAAGGATATTTTGGGTGTCTTTTTCTGACTTTGCTATCCAGCACGTGTCATCTACAAAAGCTAGATGATTGATGGTATATTTGAGTTCTTTTTAATGATTGTTGTAGATGTTGGGGGTATAGTGATGATTAATTATATAACCATTATTTTTATGTGCTTCTTGTATTTCACATAGTAGTGGATCATAAAATATACTCCATAGGATTGGTGAGAATGTTTCTCCTTGATCTAAGCCATCTTCTACTTTGTATAGTGAGCTGGGACCGAATTCAGTTATAATTAAGGTTGCTTGCCGAAATCCCTTAGTGACTGTCTAAATTCTGTCAAAATTATAATAAACTATTAGTAAATAACCCGTCGAAATTCTGACGAATTTTGAAATCCGTCGTAACCAAAATTATGTCAAAATTCTAATTAACAATTAGTGTGTAACCCGTCAAAATTATGACGATATTTTTCTGAAAGAATTTAGGCAAGCATCCTTAGTTATAATGCTACATTGTTTTTTATTGTGTATATTGTTTAATAATGATATAAATCCTTCATGCATTTTGATTCTTTGAAGAGCTATTTGCAGTGGAATCCAACCTACGGAAGGGTAAGCATTTCGCATGTCTTGGAAAACAAGCCATAGATCTTTATTGAACTCTCTAGCATGTTCTATTAAATTGTTAATTGTATGAATTGGAATATATGTATTAGTATTTTTGAGTACTGAGATATTGTTACCGCGTAAAATATTATTTTTTAGGTATAGATTTGATATTCAATCTGAGAGAATCCTTGTCAATATTTTTCTGGCTGTGTCAATAAATGTGATTGGTCTTGTAATATCTATGTTTCCTTTCCAGTCTTTGGGTTTGGGAATGAGTATTATGGAGGCAACTTTCCATTCTGCTGGGATATCCTTTTCTTGTAAACATTTATTTAATAGTTTTCTCAGAGCTGTTTTGGTATCATTGACTGTATATTTCCAGAATTCAGTGAGGATGCCTGAAGGACCAGGAGCTTTATTTTTTGGTGAATTTTTTAATGCATTCATGAAGTCCAATTCATTAATTGGTGACATAATGAATTCGAATGTGTTGTCTTTTATGTGGGGGATGGATGTATATCTTTGTTTCCATGTGTCTGAAATATTACTGTTTATATTCCTATGTCGTGTTCTGATTTTGGCATGATTGTTAATGATAGCTTTAATGTCGTCTGGATCATCAAAATATTTGCCATCATGAATAATGTGATCTAATGTGATTTTCCCTTTATTATGTTCCAGAATACTATTGATCATTTTGTCTTTTTCTGTTGAGAAGTTTTGTTCTCGTCTAGTGATTGCTTCTATTATTCTTTTGGAATTATCTGATCATGTTTGGTATATGTGTGATGTTTTGTAAGTTTTATGCCAGTTTTTTATGAAGTTGTTCCATTCTTGTAATTTGATTGTGTTATTGAAATCTGGAAGTATGGTAACATCTTTTGGAAATATTTGTTGCCATTTGTTGATGAGTTTGTTGATTTGATTGATTTCAGGATGCTCATTCTTTAAGATTATATTGTCTACTAGTTTGCTGATATGATATGTGTACTTTCTGGCTTTAAATAGATTTGATTCTTTAGTGGAATGAATAGAATCATGATTAATACGTTTTTTGGGTATTTCTTTTGCTGCCATTATTATAGTTATTTTTATGCAATTCCATAGAGTGTTTAAATTGTATTCTGAAATATGTTCAAAATTGAGTTTCTGGTGGAGAATGTGATCTGTTTTGCTTTTAAATTTGGACCACGTCTTATCTGTCATTTTCTTCATATTAAATATTTGTCTTCTGTATTTGATGCGACATTTGTTGATGTTTGAATGAGATTGAATAAAAGAAATATTGAGGGTGATACCTATTGGAAGATGATCTGAGAAAGATTGTTCTGGAGGTTCTAACAATAAGTGTTTTTTAAGATATAATGCAGTAGTTGAATCAGTGAAAATATAATCTAGTGTACGTTGCGAGTTGTGTGAATTCCATGTTGCATGGTGATTCTTCCAATTAGTGTAAGTATCAATTTGGCCATATGTGAGAATATTGTCGATGATGGGATATTTGTTTTTGTTATCTTCATGGATCAGATAATCTTCGTTGAAATCTCCCATTATAATAGTTTGTTCATTTTTGATGAGGATATTTGTGATGTATTTGTTAATTGTGTTTGTAATTGTGCGTGATTCAGCAGATTTTGAAGCAGGTGCATAAATTCCAATTAGGTTGATGGTGATTTTTCCTTTAAATTTGAGTGCAATGTGTAAGATTCTACCTTCGATTTTGTTGATTTCTTGTATGTGACTACACCATTGTGATTTGATGATAATTGCAACTCCTTGGCTGTGTGTGTGATGGTCGGAGGAGCTATAAAATGCTGTGAGTTCTTTGTTTTTAAGATTAAATTTGAGATTATTATATTTGTTGAGTTTTGTTTCCGTTAGAATTGTAAAATCAATGTCATTATTAAATATCCAGTCATTGAGTATGTGTATTTTGCTTGGTTCATTTATTCCTCTAACATTTAATGTGCTGAGATTCCAGAATATTTTGTTAGAATTAGTATTAATATTGTTAGAGTTTGGTTGAACGATTTTTGTTTTTGTTGACATGTTTTTATTAATTTCAGTTTGGTGTGCTGTCATTATCAGTGGTTTTATTTAAGTTTGTTTCCAGTGAAGAGTTATTATGTTGTTCATTTAGATTGTTGTTATTGATAGTTTTTTGTTGGTTTATGACTCGTTCCAATAAGAAGCTTAGGTTATCGAATGTTGTGTCTATATTATTAATATTTATTTGGAGAAGGTTTAGTTTGTGTTCGATATTGTTGTCTGTTGTATTGACTAGTGGTATTTCTAGATTAGTTATTTGTTCATTAAATGATTCATTGATTTTGTTAATAATGATATTGCATTTGGTTGTGATTGTTGTAATCTGGTTTTCCATTTTAACAAGTCGATTAGTGAATTCATTATCATTAGTTTTACTGATTTGTTTTACTGCTTGCGCATAAGAAGATTTGAATTTGTTGTGTTGTGAGATGTTGTGGAATTGTCAGCTGGATGTATTTGAGTTATTTTTATTAGGGTTTGTTTCATTATCTGATTCTTTTAATTCTGTATTGTTGGTATTTAATAATGTATAATCCATAAGATCATTTGCTAGAGGGTTAGATTGTTGTTTATTTGACTTGTAGGATGTGTTACTTTTATAGTTGTTTTCAGTTTGATTTTCAGTTTTGTTGTGACAATTTGATATAGAGTAAGTTGAGCTATGACAATAATAACAGGTTTTTGTGTTGCTGTTGACCCATTCTAATTGATAATTATCTAGAATTAGCTTAATTTTTCGTGCATTAACCAAATTCTCTTCCGTTGCGAATGTCATAAAGGTGATTCCTAGGTGAGAATATTTGGATCTGCTTCGTGGAATAAAGCATGTTTTAGCTTTAACTTGGGTAGTAATATGTTGTAAAGCATAGGCTGTGCTTCTTGGAGGCAAGTTTGCTAGTTTTAGTTCATAAGTTGATCGCTTGTGAAGAGATTCTTGGTAAGTTTTAGCTGGGATTACTCTCATACTGTCATGTTTGATCATTATTGACCATGTGTTTTCTAAATTTAAGTCTTCATCCGATTCAATAAATGATAATTGTGCTGTCTTCCATTCTCCTTTTTCCGTGCATTTGAAGTCTTTTACGGTGCTGATTGTGTTGCAAGCTAATTTAACTGTTGTTTCATTCATATTTGTGGGGATATCTAGAATAACCACTCCATTTCTGATGATTGGTTCATTTGCAGTATTAGTTGATTTGATTGTTGGAATTGCGATTGTGTTTATTGTGTCAACTCCAAGGCTGGTGAATGTATTAATTGCATCATCTCGAGCGTTTGTACTATTGAACTCGAGCCTGAAATTGTTAAAGAATTTGGAATTTGGATTAAAAAGGCCCAGAAAATTTGGATCATTGGATATAGTATTCATTATCCATTTGCGTTTTTGGTCTGTGGTTTCTTGGTTGAGTTTGTTTTCTGGGATAAATGCATAGTGTCTTGATTTTCTTGATACTATTTGCCAGGGAATTTGATTATCTTTAATTGTATTCGTGACTGAATTGTGAATCTGAGATTCAGAAATATGACGTACTGTTATATTGCTTGAGGTTGATGAAAGTAAATCACTTGAGTGATTGTTGTGAGTATATTTTTCAGATGAAAACACTGTAATGATTTCTTCATTAAATTCTGGATCGAGAGGGTGTTCTTTTTCAGTAAAGTGAGATGTTTGTTGGTTGTTGTTGTGTTCAAATTCTGTATAGGAGCTGAATTTTGGAAGTGGTGTTTGTATTTCTAGATTGAATTCGTTGTTTTTATTATTATTATTTTGAACGGATGGTGAATTCTTTTTCCAATTTGGTTGAATTTTGCTGGGTGTTGGTGGAGTTCTTGGTGTTTTGGGGTTGGTTTTTGAATTTGGTTGATTGATTGGTGTGATGGGTCGTGTAATATATGTTAAAGGTTCATTGACATTGACTTTGAGTATTTGGTTAATATTATCAGTTTGGTTGATAGTTTTAAGGGATTCACTGATTTCTTTTTGAAGAGTGATTTCTATATTTGTGTTGTTTAAGGACGTTTTATTGATATTGATAAATGTGGTGAGGGGCATTGTAGTTGTTTTTGAAGAATGATTTTCATTGAATAAGGTGTTGAATTTTTCTTTTACTTTTTCGAATTTTTTTGTGTTTTTTGCTGGCATATTTTTGGTTTTTCTTGTATTTGTAGTGTTGGATATTTGGATATTATCTTCTATTTGTTTGTTTTGTGCTGTTAGTGTAGTTTTTTTTTGGTTTTTTTCATCGTGTTTGTTGTTTTTGTTGTTTATATCCATTATATTTAATTTTTGGCTATTTTCAGCCATTTTAAGGTCTTTTTGGCCAGAGTTTTTTTGGTCTATAGGTGTATTAGGTGTATTGGTTATGTTTAGAATGTTTTTATTACAGGAAAAACGAGCTGTTAGGGCAGGAAAAAATTTTTTCTCTTTTTGTGGCACAGTAAATTATTTGGAAAAATGATCTACTTGTCATTTTCTATTGTTGGTGATATTGTTTGCATTTGCTGACCTTTCAAATTCGTCCAACCAGTTGATTGGGTCTTCATGACTATTTCTGCTGAAGGTTGATAGTGAGACAGTGGATGTTTCATGCTGTTGATTTTGTTGTGCTTGCATGGCTTGGATGAGTGGGGTGAGAGCATTGGCTAATTGTTGTACTGTGTGATCTGTCATTTCGTCGTCTTCTTCTTGTTGTTGTTGTTGATATTGCTGTTGTTGTTGATGCTGTTGTTGATGAAGTTGATTTACAAATCTTTTTGCAAGGATTCTTCTGAAATTTTTCTGAAAGACTAAAGCTGCTTGGTTTTGTATTTGTTGTTGTCGCTGTTGTTGTAAGAGTTGTCAATGTTGTTGTAGCTGTTGTTGTCTAGTCTGTCTTGTTTGTATTCTTTCTGTTCTGTTTGTCTTCAAATTTAGTTTATATTGCTGTCTTTGTTGTACAAAGTAATG